TCATTCACCTCCTTTTTGTGGAAAAAACTTATAAATGTGATAAGCCGGAATTTATTTATCCATCCATACAGTGTCGGTACTTAGTCACTAGGTTTACGGGTTATCTCCCCTTTTCTATGCATCAATGAAAGTGAAAGGTGGGTGATGAAAGTATCCGATTTATGTTTTTGTATTATGAAATGCCCTCCCACCTCAACCCTTGAGCTAGGTGTTAAGTATATAACCTTTCTCCTTTTGTTTGTTTAAATAACGTTTTTCATTGTTTTACATGGTTTGGCTATACCAAATTTATTAGAGTTATGCAAATGTTATTGAGAATCTTTTTCTGCTGTGGGTTTTTGTTTTTGTCTTTTCAGATATTAGAGATTTCGTTGAAGGAGACTAATGATGCTGATCTGAATTGCCTGCTATTTCCGTATTCTGGGACCTTTGGAATGATCTCTGGCCGAATACCATGCATGACAAGGGTCAACTGGGCGAATTATCCATTCGAGGAGTTCGGGGAAAGACAGTAAACTATACTTCACAGTGGTCGTATTGGCGAAATCGTCACCTTCAATTTAACCATTGAACTGTTCATTTTGTTGACTTTTTGTGGTTGATGTTGATATATGTGATGGTTGATGTTGATATATGTGATGTTGACTTTGAAAATTATATCTTATACAATTTAAAGCTAAAGCAAAATAATATAATTATAAAAGATAATTTGTGTTGAAATGTGTCCGTAGCACGAATGAGGTCAACCCAGCGTGCTACTTTTCCCATCAGGGAGGGCACAACTTATGTTGATGTTGGGGGTATGCCATTTTGCCGGCTGCCCCACTGTTGTGTAGACCACTGTGGACAATACCTGCCAACTCGAATAAAACATTAAACTTAAATACGTAGCATTTGTTTATTATATACATAGGTCTTTGATAATAATAATGATTGTTTTTATATAGCGCTTTTCTGGCATAAATGCTACTCAAAGCGCTATACAATACATTATTACCCTAGCAGACCATAATTATCCAGAATCTTTCTCATTGCAAGCTGCCGTTAAGGCGCTAGAACACTAACATTCTGACAATATCTTTCACTGTCTATAGTAGCTTTTCCAGTTGACGCCATTTTATCTAAAAAAAGTAACCAACGGAAGGCACGCAGTGGCCATTTTGACCATTTCGTTCGAATTTGTTATGTGAAGTAAACATTGATATGAAAGTGAATACACTGGATCTTTGCAATGTCAATTGGAAGTAACTGATTAAGTAAGTAACAGGAAGTTTTTTTAATATATTATTTCAATTAATGTAAATAAAAATCGTTTCATAAAGATACTTTAAAGGAAACGTAATTTCAATGAATATTATAGCATTTCCGAAAGTTTTCATACATTCATTTAAGGTGTAGAGAAAAGTAAGATTAAGTACTTTCTAACGATTTTTAAACAATTAATGATTTTTTAATGAATAAACTAATTATCTAGAGAGTCGCAAAAATTCCCACGATATTTTCTTAAAAACAGTCTTCATCGTGATCGGAGACATATTTGTCATGTTGTGATTTATGTAAAATAAAGCATTACAAGTTCATAAAAGGGAGTAAATTTAGTTTATTTTTTACTAATAATCATATATTTCCTATTTTTTAAATTGAATATCATTGAAAACATGAAAAACAGTCATTTGGACATTTCCCTTATTTCAATCACGCTCGAGATTCATCTCGTAGTTGTCTTTCTTGATTAGCTTTCCTAGGTGGTAGAAATTGTCATTGTTTGGATATTTTGTGGCATTAGTATTGACTTTATTCCGTATAATTTAATGAAAAGTGTGCTTATTCCTTTCATTTTTTAGACTTTACTGCCCAGAAACCAAAATTTAATGTTAAAATCTTTCTTTTAATTTTTAGGTTGAATAGCTATCTATAGCCAAGTACCCCTTTTACACTTGGGTGGAGTAGGGAAATTCGTGTAAAGTGCCTTTCCCAAGGACACAACGTCGACTTGCCGCGGCCAGGATTCGAACTCACAACTTTTCGGTTTGGAGTCCGGCACCTTAACCACTAGACTAAAGACGCCACGAGTGTACTGGAGTGAACTGGTGACTGGTCACACCCACCTTGTGCTCTTTGTCATGATCGGAAATAACATTTAAAAATAAGTGGACAATTCAGGTCGTTTATAAGATAATAATTATTATTAAAAAAGGATAGCCGGTATGAAGTTTAATACATGTATATGAAGGACTGTTTTGCTGACAAGGTCATTGTTTTGACAACGGAAATTGAGAATATTTATTTTAAAAGAGGCGATTGATATTATTCTTTTATCATTTATGTTAATAGATTGTCTTGTTTTTAGAAATTATTCGTAAGCAGAGTATGTCTTGCTTATCGAATCAATTGAGAGACATTAACCTTACCAACCAGTAATATAGGTTTTTGTAAAAACTAACACTGATTAATATATATATATATATATATATATATATATATATATATATATATATATATATATATATATATATATATATATATATATAAAGCACATTTTACAACAACTCTTAAACTAACATAACTGCCCTAAGTGAAGAAATATTAATATAGAAAGCACAAAGAAATTCACTTTTACATGGATATCCACTTCCGACTCAGCCCGGGGTTGAACTCTCGACCTTCGGAATCTGTCTCCTAGCAGTGCAGGAACGGCGCGCTAGACCGCTCGGCTATCTAGGCAAGTTAAAAAACTTGCTTTCGATGCCAATGGAATTCTCGCGGCGCTGCCCTACACTACACGGTCATTGAGAATAGAAGTGAGATACAGTTATTTTGACATAAGTTTTAACAGAGGATTGTTACTAATACATGTTGTAATGAAATTAATTATTATTTATAAAGCACATTTTACAACAACTCTTAAACTAACATAACTGCCCTAAGTGAAGAAATATTAATATAGAAAGCACAAAGAAATTCACTTTTACATGGATACCCACTTCCGCCCCAGCCCGGGGTTGAACTCTCGACCTTCGGAATCTGTCTCCTAGCAGTGCAGGAACAGCGCGCTAGACCGCTCGGCTATCTAGGCAAGTTAAAAAACTTGCTTTCGATGCCGATGGAATTCTCGCGGCGCTGCCCTACACTACACGGTCTATTCTCAATGACCGTGTAGTGTAGGGCAGCGCCGCGAGAATTCCATCGGCATCGAAAGCAAGTCTTTTAACTTGCCTAGATAGCCGAGCGGTCTAGCGCGCTGTTCCTGCACTGCTAGGAGACAGATTCCGAAGGTCGAGAGTTCAACCCCGGGCTGGGGCGGAAGTGGGTATCCATGTAAAAGTGAATTTCTTTGTGCTTTCTATATTAATATTTCTTCACTTAGGGCAGTTATGTTAGTTTAAGAGTTGTTGTAAAATGTGCTTTATAAATAATAATTAATTTCATTACAACATGTATTGGTAACAATCCTCTGTTAAAACTAATGTCAAAATAACTGTATCTCACTTCTATTCTCAATGACCGTGTAGTGTAGGGCAGCGCCGCGAGAATTCCATCAGCATCGAAAGCAAGTTTTTTAACTTGCCTAGATAGCCGAGCGGTCTAGCGCGCTGTTCCTGCACTGCTAGGAGACAGATTCCGAAGGTCGAGAGTTCAACCCCGTTTTAAATCATAAAAAAACACATTACCGAATCCAAGTAATATTTAATTCCTTTAAGGTAGGATTCTTCTCTGGTTTCTGACTAGATGAAACATTCAAAGTATATTTGCTTACATGTCTTATATATTTGTATGTAAGGGATTTAAAAGACCATATTTTTCTTTCCTCATCACAATTGTATAACTTAATTTAAATAGAAATGAAAAACTGCGTTTAAAAACTAGCAGGGACTATATTTTTTGCGGAATGGTGGCGTATGAAAATATCTTCTTTTCTGCCTCTCATAATTATAATAGAACAATGAATCTAGTTATAATTTTTACACAATCGAAGACTTTGAGAAATTTTCAAATGTAAGTTAAATTAATAATAAGGGACTAAACTTTCAAAATATATTAAATAAATATGATTTTTCAAACAAACTAGGACTATGTTAGCTCTTAAATTCTTCCCATCAAAGTGCAGATTTGAGCCAAAAATCCATAAAAGTATTTTTTCTCTCTAATTAAACGATTAAAACCTTTTGTTTTTGTATCATTTTGTACATTTATAAGACTACTTTGTTATATGTGAAAATAAGAAAAAGTTAAATATAGGAAGCATATGAAAATAACTAATATATCCTAAAAAAATTAGGAAAAACAGAGAAAATTCGGATTAGCCAATATCCAGTTTAGTTAAATTATTTATGTAAATTTGGTAACATCATGCTATAGACCCAATAAAGTAGTATTTTTTTAGTCAAAAAGAACAGTCTTTAAACTTTTGAAATAGAAGTAGGCATTCCAAGACTTGAAACAGTATTTTTTTATTCTTTATGTCAAGGAAAAAGATAATGACCTTGACCTGACCTTGTCTCTAATATTAAACGGTCAAACTTAATCTCACTGATACTATCACTTACTGATATTGTTTTCTTGATTCTGTGAAAATGTCATTAACTTTTAAACACAAGAAATTTGAGAAGAATCCTACCTTAACGTCATATTTTTCATTATAACATCCGTATCCGTGAAAATTATTGTATCAAAGCTAAGTTCTAAACTAAATTCAATAATCAAATAACAATTACAGCTGTATATTATAGTTTAATATTTATACGAAAGAAAAAGTAATGTACGTCAGTTTTTTTTTCTTGAATAAAAGTTCAATTTTAAATTTATATTGCTCCAATGATGGTTAAATTTTAATTATGAAAAAAAAAGTTCATTAAGCATTAAAATTTCTTATAAAATGTGTTTAAAACTGAAAAATAACATACATGTAAGTTTCCTGAAGAAAAAAAAAAACGGAAACGACGAATGTTTTGCGAAAACAACTGTGTATCTTGTTATACAAATGTAGCATATCATAGAATATGGAGGCAAAAACAGGCTTTTTCTATTTTCGTGAGATATTTGGAATCGTTACCTCTGTTGTCACGATAGGAACCGCAGCGCCGATTATAATTTTTATGTATCTCGAAAATCCTACAATTTTTAACGATCTAGAAACGTGTAAGTAAATAAAAATGGTTATTTATTTTTGAAATTGTATTTGACTATCAAATATATTCCTGAAAAATTCAAAGGGCTCATGGAAGTTGTGTCAGGCCAATAAGGGAATGTTAACTCTTTTTCAGCACCTTGTCCCACTCCTGGAATTTCACGGGGTTCACTTTTTATGTCCTCTTCACATATTTGTATTGTTTATAGATTTCTCTTCAGGTTTATCACTGTTCATTATCTTTTTAAGTTCCAAGCACATGCACAAGCGCTTATTTCTTACATGAAAGTCAAATTAAATCTTGTTTCAGCTTGCTCCCTCAAAGGAAGTTTTGCCTTATTCTGCCTGGCGGCTTGTTTGGAGGTCTTCCTCATATTGCTGAAATCCTCTTGTTTTGGCTTTGTTATTCTTTGCAAGGGACGGTGTCGAATAAATTGCTACCATCTAATTGTTTTGCTGCATTTTACGTCTTGTGAGTATATTCCAGTTTTGTATTACGGGAAATTTATTCATTCTTTAAAAACAATATAATAAAGAATGTTTAGCATATCAAAATATATAGGACTGGTGAACTCATGTTACTTAAAATAATATTTTAAAACCTTATACAGGACTACCCTTAGAATTTTATTTTAAATAGAATGTTTTAAGTTGTAAATTGAGTACTTTACAATGTAATTCCATGTGCTTAACTTTTCTTTCCTTCTAATAAACTTAAGATTGTAGTATATCTTCTTTTTTAAATCAAGCATGATTTTTACGTTAGAAGTGATTCTTTAAAGGATTGCATTTTTTTATAAAAAGCTAAATTTATTTTACCTGGCTATATATTTTTGAAAATATTTTATAATTAAAAATTGAATGGAGAGATACAATATAAAGTACACAAAATAATATCGATACAGGACCGATTGTCTTCATTCCTAAATAATAAATAATAATATTTCTTTTATTTGAAACATATTTTTTTTTGTGATTTGAAATTAACAAATAAAAAAAAAATTAAATGAAATATTGAGCCACTTGAAAGAAACTATATTTTTAGTGATCAAAAACATAAACACACATATTACAAAATTAAATGTTAACTAATCAACATTTCTAGGTATGTTTCTTTTTGTTGGGATAACTGTGTTTGCCGTTAAGCTGAATCCCAATGTCTGGTACTGGAACCTCTGTACAGTATCTGCCTTCCTTTCTATGACCAACTGCTTCGTGGCCTGTATATTTCAGAGGGAGTACCGGAGATTACGTCGAGAGAAAATGGCGAACTCTAGACTGATGAAAAAGATGAGAGGCATGCTAGGGTCGGCCGAAAATATGATTGAGGGGAAACAAGAGCATCAACATTCTATGAAAGGAAATGAATTAAAGACAGAAAATGAGAATTTATTGGGTGTGAAGGAAATAACTGGAGGCAATAATACAGGGTTTATGTCCCTAAAACAAACTTTGAACGGGATACAAATGCAGGACTTGAAAAAAATTGCAATATAAAATTGCGGTCAGATCTGTTATATTTACTTATACATGACTACAAATCATTGGGAAATTTAATGCATTTAACATGCATTTACATATATTAAATCTTTCTTGTTATCATATTGTACATAAGTGCGTTCATGTACTAGAAAATTAATTCTTGTTGCATATGTGAGTGCACACTATACAAAGAGTGGTTTCTAGTCAGTTCGTGGATGAAAATATTCTATAAAGAGTATAAGTTGTGTGTCCAGGGGCCAAAAGGCAAATTAATTCAACTGCTTAATTTTACGTCCATTGAAAAAAGTTAAAGTGTGAATAAATCGGTATATAGTTTCGGAATTGCAAAAAAAATTCATATTTCCTAAAGGTTTAATATTTTAGAGTTGAAATGTGAAGCTTATATGCGATATACATGTAGAACAAAAGCAATGATCAATGTGTGGTGATGATTTTTTTATCTATTTTTTGAGAATAACCCGTAGGCAAAATGTGTGTCTCAAGAAAATGAAATAGTCAATCCTTGTTTTTTTTTTCAATCTACAATTTTTGTCTTTTGCCTTTTCTTGTTTATAAAAGATTATGCAACTTTACATTACCATAAAATATAATTATTACCCCATAATAAACAAAATAATGTTTTTTAAACAATATAGAGAAAGAACACTTATTGCTAACTTGCAAAATAAATATTGACTTCCCTTTCAGGTTTATATTTTACTTTCATAACTTACATGGATCCCGAAGATCAACATGTCGCTCGGATCCTCCGGAATTTTTAAACAAGTTTTGCTTCCGTTCAAGTTTCTAAAGATGTTTCTCATACATTTATACTTTCAATATTGTACATGAATCCGCGATTGAAATTCACGGAGCTGGTTATATTATAACTGATAAAACCAGAATCAGGTATGTTACTTTTTATACTGTTTTAATAAATAAGAAAAATACATGTATATTAAAAGAAATGAACTATATAGAAACTGTGACGTAAAGATTTAAATTTGGGTCCTATAAATTTTGAATTGCGTGGCTGATGGGTGTTGCCTATACGCACTAAATAAACTATATTTTCCACGGTAAATTTGTTTTGTAGACAACAGTCACTATGATGGACGAGGTGTCTTCACGCTTCTTTCTCTTCCGGACTGTTGTTGGCGCCATGCTTTCTCAAATCAGCGTCTTTCTTTTAGTTCCCTCTTTAATAGCTTTCTCAACAAAGTTTCCGAAAGCCCTTGACAACAAAGAATCAGGTAAATATAGTATTGTACACTCTGTAGTGTTGTAATGGAATTTTATAAGTCTCCTGCTAAAATATACATAAAAAGTATTAGTAATTTTATATATTATATTAAATCATTTAAAATCAGGATACATTGTATTTGCTGATAAATTGCTTCACTTACAAACTAATTCTTCCTTCCGTTTCTCAACAACATGTTCAAGAACACGTTGTCAAAAATACGTTTATCCCCCAGAAAATCCTTGCCAGCAGATATTATTGAATATTGCTTTCTAAGAAATTAAGCATTAAATTTCAAACTTGATTGATATCAGAGGAAATTATTTTTATATTTTCGCCCATGATTTAAGAAGAAATGTTTTTCCTTATTTTTAGATTGCTCAATAAAAGTCGCTTTCAGTTGCATGGTTATTTCAACCAGTATTGAATCTCTTTTGTGGTGTTGGACCTTATTTACTATATTCGTCGCCGTGGAGTCCAAAGGATACTGTCATTTAAAATGTTATCACATTGAAGTATTACTTCACTTTATCTCATGTAAGTCTCGGCGATTGCAATTATACGCGGAAAATTCGTAAACTTTCTTTCCATGATGAACTGAACAGAACAAATTAAATCGTTTTAAATTAAATCGTTTTAAATTAAATCGATTCTCTTAAAAGAAAAATAAATAACTCAAAGAAATATTTTTGTGGTTGCTTAATAAATAATGACCTACAAATTCTCTCATGAACATTAGAACTCTATTTCATGCAAAATTTGTAATTTTTTTTTTTACTCTCATCGATTTCATTTATTGCTTATTTTCTGATTCATATATTTTTTTTTCTTAAGTTGGAAGTTCCGGTGTAGGGGTAACGATATTTGCTTACAAACACAACAGAGAAGTGTGGTACTGGATATTTGCTGTGGCAGGCGGCGCATGCGCAGGAGGAAACGCTTTTCTTGGATGCTGTTGTCAAAATATAAAGCGAAGTGTCAAAGATCGATTTGGAGCATTGGATCTTGATGGAATATCAGATAAAAAGCTTCTTATTTCAAAGACTTGAATGGATTGAATCTATGCAATATTAAGGAAATGTATTTTTTTTACGCAAAAGGATAAAAAAGGATATTTTATAGAATTGAAATGAAGTTCATGATAACCCGTCATTTAACATTGCAGTTATTTTAGTGATAAAAGAGAAAGATATCCTCTAATAACTGTTAATTTCATTCAGATTTTATTGGTTTTAATGAAAGCTAAGATTGTTAATATTTATAAATTAATCATATCAATCTTGTACATTCTAGTTAAACCAAGACATTCTAAAACAAATATTTTGTTGATTTGTCATTTTCTTTGAATAATGAAACGTGTCAAGTAATCTCTCGTTCAAAACATTTTCTAAGTATTGTCATTTTAACAACAAACACCCCTGGTTATAAATTTATTTCTTTTGATTAAAAGAAAGGGTCTTCCGCAATCAAACAATATACATAAATTTACAGCATAAACGATATATATAAATTTGAAACAAAAGCTATGACTCAGAATATAAATGTATATTTTTATACGCATTCGTTTCAAAAAATATTATTAAGATCTATATATGTGCAAATGACAATGCGACAGTACCGTATGGAATATAAAATTATTTAAAAGAAAAACTTGATTCGCTGTGTACCGGTAAATTTATTTTCACATTGACATAGTTTCATGAATCAAGGTAGTCCAATTTTCATAGTTAGATATCGATACATATAACATTACTTTGTGAATATAAAGTTACAATGAATTGAAAAAAGTATAAGCGGAGTAGAAAGAAGAAGGTATGGTTTTAGATTTATTGTGCCCTATAATCGTTATGTCATCAAAAAGTTTTGAAACTGGATTAAATATTAGTTAAGCATATGACCTTGATAAATCAGGAAAGCATATGGCATGAAGGATTACCATTCTGCAAATATCACGTCATGAATGTGACACATGTCTCTATTTTAAACAGAAAAAATCTCAAAATGGCCCATTTCAAGGGTAATTATCATTAGTAAATAGTGTCCACAGCCGTTGCCCACTTTAATTTTTATGATATTTTGTGCAAAAAACAATAAAACCTCACATATCTCAAAATCTTTGTAGGCGATGCTCGTGGACAGTATAATCTGAAAGGAAATTTTATTGAAAATTGGTGTCTTACGCAACTTTTTTAGAAAATTTGGGAAAATGCACATGTTTATGACGTCACAATTAGCATTTAAAATCACATGTGAGAAACATGATTTTTGATTTTTTTCTGTATGGAATTCCACTGATTCAGAAGGCATGAGTTTTTATCTTTTACACAAGTTTCATTTTTTAGAAAATCACAGGGCAAGATTTGTATGAAAACCATACCTTGTTCTTTTCTTGGTTATTTTTTTTTAAAAATTTCAGATTAGGAATGGATTGTTTTTGTATGCATCTTTGTGAAAACTATATGATGGGTGCCGTTTATAGAAATAATCTAGAATTATAACTTCAAACCCCGCCCCATCCCGAAAAACAAAATTAAGATTACAAAACAAGAGGCCCATGGGCCACATCGCTCACCTGAGCATTGTGGCTAGGAAAAAGTAGAAATTGGTTTATTATTGAAAAGTTTAAATCCAAAGGTAGTCCCATGACCAATGATAGCTTTGCTGTTCTTGAGAAGATGATTTTTAAAAAAAAATTCCTGTAGATGTCTATGTAAAACTTTGATCGGCCATTGTGTCCCCGCCCTACCCCCGTGGGTCATGATTTGAACAAACTTGAATCTACACTACCGGAGGATGCTTCCATATAAATATGATCATATATAGCTTTGCTTTTCTCGAGAAGAAGATTTATAAAGAATTTTCCTATATATTTCTATGTAAAACTTTGGTTGGCCATTTTGCCCCCCCCCCACCTACCATAGGGGTCATGATTTCAACATACTTGAATCTACACTATCTGAGGATGCTTCAATATAAATATGATTAATTATAACCTTTCAATTCTTGAGAAGGAGATTTTTTGAAGAATTTTCCTATATAGTTCTATGTTAAACTTTTGATCGGCCATTTTGGCACCACCCTACCCTCGAGGGTCATGATTCGAACAAACTTGAATCTACACTACCTGAGGATACTTCCATATCAATATGATCAATTATGGATTTGCAATTTTCGAGAGGAAGATTTTTTTAAAAAATCCAATATATTTCTATGTAAAATTTTGATCGGCATTTTGGCCCCGCCCCTACCCCTGGGGCCTGATTTTAACAAACTTGAATCTACACTACCTGATGATGCTTCCTTATAAATATGATTAATTATGGCTTTATTATTCTTCAGAAGAAGATTTTTAAATAATTTTCCTATATATTTCTATGTAAAAATTTGATCGGCCTTTGTGGCCCCGCCCTACCCCCGGGGGTCATGATTTGTACAAACTTGAATCTACACTTCCTGATGATGCTTCCCTGTAAGTTTCATCTTTCCTGGCACCGTGGTTATTGAGAAGAAGATTTTCAAAACATGACACCAAATTTTTATTAATTTCCAATTATCTCCCCTTGAATAAGAGCGTGGACCTTCATTTGAACAAATTTGAATCCCCTTTACCCATGGATGTGTTGTGGCAAGTTTGGTTAAAATTGGGCTAGCGATTCTTGAGAAAAAGTCGAAAATGTGAAAAGTTTACAGACAGACAGACGGACGGACAGACGGACGGACACAAACAAAATGTGATCAGAAAAGCTCACTTGAGCCTTCGGCTCAGGTGAGCTAAAAGATGTAAACACTGTTTTTTCCTTATGTTTAAATACTTGAAGTTATTACTTTTCTTTGAGCTAGATGAGTGATTTTACTAATCAATTTGATTTAAATTATCATTATAACACCCAAGGTAGTAACTCTGCCTGTGACAGTTAGTGGCATACAAAAAGATTTCTAACCAGAACAAAAACAGGTATTACCATTGAAATTAATCACTAAGCCCTTAAATCAAGCAATGCAAAATAAAAATATTAAGATGACATATATAATTGATTAAAAATTCTAGATTAAATGAGATGAACCATGGATGATATTCTTGAAAATAATGATCGCTTCATCAATCTTTAAAAATGTTTTCTGCCTTTGATTCCCTTGATTTAACCTTTTCCGGGTTTAAGCAAACGTAAGATTTAGGTCCAGTAACCCGATAACTAATCTCGTTACAGTGTTGAAGATTCATGTGTCTTTCATCTGCGATGTCCAGAAAGAGCATCTCAAAAACAAGCGGGAGTGGATCAAAGCCCCCTAATTTTGCAAGTTCTTTGTTGTACCGAAATTGTCGCCGAAAATCGCAATCCCCGAAGCTATGTGCAAATGACGGTGGATATCCTTTCTTCAATCGCAACTGGAAATCAGCTTCATCCTCTGCCTTCATTTCTTCTTGTGACGGAAATTTGACTTTTCCCGCTAACGCCAAAACTGCAAGTTTTGCCATTTCATGGAACATAGGAAAGTATGAAAACATCCGGGCAATTCCGATAAAAATCAGGTTTGGATATTCTATATGAAACATATGTTTATATATTGGCTGGATGCGTTCATCTTTCATGGTTATGATGTCATCTTTTAAGAAAGGAAATGAGTACCGATATCCAGTGCAGAATATGATGGCATCTACCTTTTCAGAGGTTCCATCTGGAAACACCACGGAATCTTTATTCAAGCGGACAAAAGGAGGCCTTTGCTCTATTTCTTTCGGGAAAGACGGTGGGAAGGCTTTTTGATCCCGTCTGTGGCATACAAATACCTTTGGTAAATGTGAAAAAAGTGTGAAATGAATAAAAACATTTAACTTTCCATATATATTTTTTCTGCAAACTGCAATAATTATTATAGTAAACTACGCTAATACCTAGTATATGTACAGGCAATAACGATTTATTTGACATATATATATATATATATATATATATATATATATATATATATATATATTTTGGGGGGGGGGGGGGGGGGGGGGGGGGGGGGGGGGGGGGGGGGGGCTATTGTATAGTGTCATTTAAATTTTTTAAATTTTTTCTTGATGCCATGTAAAAGCCCGTCCAAAATAAATAATAATTCATAAATCGATCTTTTCTCCAAATGAAAAGAAAAACTCAAACAAATCAAAGAAGTTAACCAACAGTAATATTTTTGCTTCTATGAGCATTCAAGCATTTTCATTATTCACTGTAATGACAAAAATACTTTTGTTTTGTTATTTTAATTTGTAATGATTCCTGCATTTCATAATATAGAAACAGTTTTGAAAAATTTTTAGTAAAGAGAGGAAAAATTCTAGAATGGGTTGTCTTTTCGAAATTTAGTAAACTGTTAATAAACTCTTTTTTTAATTTAAAAACTGTTATAAAAGAACGATATACGTATCCGTTTTGACTGTGTACATGTACAGATTATCAAATGACCATGCATGAGTATTTCATCGCCCTCCCTTGATCGGTAAGGACTTGTTGTTATTCGGAATTTTGTCAAAAGATTTTTTAGAGTTAAGGTAAAAATGACAATAGCAGAAAAGTAACAAAAACTAATATCTTATCTGATTCATGCTCACCACAATAACTTAAGTTTTAAAATATTTTATTCATATATTTGTAATAATAAACCAGATTTATCATACATTGTAATAATAACACAAAAATAATCTCTGTGGTTCAATGCATAGACAAATTATAATTAAAGCCCGCACAGAAATTAATTTTTTTTTTCTTTAAAAGTTATTAAAACCATTTTGAATTGACACATATCCATTTACAGCTTTTTGTGTATTAATGTATTAAATTTTTTTTCAGAGTAGAAATGTTACAAAGCAAAATTCTTTCACAAGAATTGTCATTCCGAACTAAATCTTGTGTGCAAATCGATCACACTCGTGTTATGTACACATTTTTTTGTAAACAGGGCAGGAGCTCTGTTATTGTTGATTGTTTACGATTCACCGGGTGTGTTCAGCCGTCAAAGTCTGCTCACCACAACTTTATTACTGTGTGTTTGTTTTACTTAATATACTTTAACATGAAAAAATTAAAGTTCATATGGAATATTTTTATGTCTTTTATATTAGTCACAACAGTCAGAACAATACTTCCAAAACAACATTTATTGTACTGAATATACTTTAACATGAAAAAATCAAATTTCATATGGAATGTTTGTCTTTTATACACAACATTCACAGAATACTTACCTAAAACGACAGTGCGGTAATAATTGACATTTTTGCAATTGGAAAGAATACATTTTACTGTTGAGGCTTCGGGCCTTTTCTGCAATTTCAATTAAGGATAAAAACTTTTTTTTTTGCAATAAGATAAAGATCAAATTTACCGTTTGGGCTTCATACCTTTTTTGCAAACTTTGCTACATGCATTGAAATGTCTTCTCCTGAGAAGCTACAACCCAGGATTGCAACACGAAGACCTTCAAAGTGTTCCTCGTGTCTAAATTCCTTGCTATGTATTATTCTTCCCTCAAATAACTCCATTCCTGGAATATTTGGACTGTAAGTTTCGCTGTCATGTCTGCGACGACCGTTGAAAAAAAATACACAATTCGTAATTATATTAAATATTTCTGATTAAAAACCTGCCATTCATAGCAGAATTAAAATTAAACAACAAGAGGAAAGAAACATGGCAAGATAAAAAAGAAAATTTGCACACGCTTTGAAACATATCTGTTTGCAATAGACATATATAATAAAAACATTAATGTTCATACCCATTACAGACAAGAACAGAATCGAACACTTCCGTTTTGACCTCGGATAGCTTGTTGACTGGGGAAAAAGTCACCAACCATTTAACAAGGCTGTTCTCCTTGTCTTCCTTTAATGGCCTTACATCTCGAACAAAGGTATGGGTCTTCAAAGCAAAACATATAAGCATGATTAAAGGTACAAAAGACAATCCTTTTTTATATTATTTGTAGTTAAATTTCGAATACCAAAGTTTTGGTATTTGCCACCAAGATTCTGTCAACTTCCAGAAATTGATTAATGCCTTTTTTACGATTCATGGAAATAAAATAATAAAATGCATAAAACCTTTGAAGGGTTTCATATGTTTTCACGCCAACACTACACTTTTTTATTGGTCTTAAGAAATTTTTAATTGTATACGTGCATAATGAAGACGATATGCTTTAAAATTTGATACAGTCACGTAATTCAAGCACATACAATCATACCGCACATGAATATTATATAACACCACAATAGACGATGAAAATCAATTGCAATAATTTAATGTATACTTTAATTGAATGAAACAAGTTAAAAATATGTTACCCGTATATATGGTCGAAGGTTGTAGTAATCTGTGAACATATTAAGGTAAAGAAGGCATTGTTGACGTGAAATGTAGGATGTCGTCCATTCCTTTGGATAGGGGAAGTCTGGAAACTCTTGTAATTCCTTTGGGAGATTTATTCTGTAGATAAACGGATTGCATAGTGAATTTATTTTGTTACCTCAAAGGATCAAACAAAAAGTATCCAAAGGAAAGCCTTATCATAAAAAAATACTAAAATGAAATATATATTTTTTTAACCTGTCTTTCCGTGCGTCCGGTTAGCTGTCTAATTCTTCGCAAAAAAATACCATGTCATAACTTTGGATTGGTTTGAGATAATGCGTTCATATCTGTTTATGTTTATTTCTTGTGACAAGAACTTTCGTTTTGGTTTCGGATTATTTTTTATCTATTAACATTGACCTTGGACCACTTTTGCAAATATTTCCAAAATTTGACCTTGACCATAACTTTAAACGATGCTAGAGATTTTATTAGGAAATCTTCAAAAAAAAAAGGGGGGGCTAAAGTATTTTTTATAGAGAGGGTTATACGGGAAAAGAGTTATTATAACGTACGTTTTACACATAAATGTACTTAAATAACTCATTAGGATACAGGGTACAGTTAAACTGGTTTAGTTCGAACACGGATATCCCGAATTCACTGATTCACAAGAGCGAGGTCATCTTGGATTCTAAGCTATATAAATTGAATGAATTTCTTATACGATCATAACAAATTTCGGATATAACGAAATAATTTCATAGGTCGCATGAAAACTGGGTTTTGCTGTATAGTTTTTACATGAAAAAGTTGGAGGTTGATCAACCTGATGAAGGTTTTTGTTTGAATAGTCTGATTTTTTTTTTTTTTTTTTTTTTTTGAAAAAAGAAAAAATATCTCCGAACCAAAAAATTCTATTGTGTAATGGGGATGGCGTTTCATTTTGTTTTCGAAACCAAACCTCTTTATATTACAACAGTAGCCTTTCACTGAACATTTTCTATAGTAAAACACAGCAAAAAATTGACTTTCTTGTTTCTTTTTTTTTCTTTTTTGCAAATCCCAAGGTATAAAAAGTGCAATTCTTTCAATACATGTACTTTTTTTGACAAGGCCTTTTTGGACACCAACAAATTGCTCTTTTGACTTTTACCTTAGAGTTTTTTCTACATTTGAAATATTTGAATCTTGGGTATAACTTTTGAGCAGTTTGTTTTTGAAAATATTCCACTGTTCATTAAAATACTAAAAAATCTTTCTTAAAATTTGCATGTATGAAAAGTGATTTTTTCACTCATAGTATAGCCTAATTTGCTAAGAAGAAATAAAAGAATGCTTTTGTTTTAACATGGGAGTAGGGGTATATCTAAAAAGATTGACTGTATATTGTTTGACGTCCCTCTCGAGAATTTTTCACTTAAATGGAGACTTCACCTTATGCGGTTGTCACATTTACGGTGTTGTATTGTTTATTTGTCTTGTAAAGTATTTGATTTTCAATTTACTGTGATTATTGTTCTAACTTTGTTCCGTAGTTTCTTTCAGTTATCCTATTCTGGACCTCTTATTCGAACACCCTTTTTGGTACCTCTTCACTACCTGTATTTATTCACTTGAGTTTAGGCTTCCACCCTTCTTAAAGCCGGCTTTCCGAGATGCAGCTGCACGAGCTCTGTTGTCATTTATATTACCAAAGTTTTATGTTTTATAAATATTATTGTTAATTAATTGTACTCTAGTATTTTATATCGTTAATAAATTAACAGTACAAAGTAACGGACTGTGTGCAAGATAAGTTACATGTTTCATTTACATTTTATTTTCTGTTTTGTTAATTAAACGTGTCCTGGGTTATGTGGGTATAACTTTGTTATTTCATTAATGTGTATTTGTAATTTTGTTTATTCGTTTGAATGTTACGTTACGTTGTGTTCTGTGTTTTATGTTTTATAAATATATTGTAGTAGTATATATTGATAGTTGATGTTATCTAGTAAATGTGAAAACGCTTTTTAGTTTTTTACTGTAATGAAAAACTGAACAAATGGTAAAGTAACTAAAACAAGTGTAAGTGAAGTTACTGTGTGTAAGTGTAAGTTATATGTTAGATGATGTCATTATTGTGCAAAAGCATTTAATACAAGTTCTCTGATGCAGCGCTGTGATGTTGACCCCATTATTATCCCATTTACGTGTATGGTGGGTTTTGTGGGCAAAATTAACATTTGTTCTTACTTTTGTAAATTTGCTTTCAAACTATGATTATGTGAATTATTGAATTTTGTTTATCAAACAAAGAAACATATTTTGTTAATGTGTTTTTCATTCATTTTTGTGTTATGTAGAGTAGTTGGTGACCTTTATACGTCCTCCGTTCCAGGTTACACGTATACAAAATCAGCACTTCAGTAAGTTGTGTGTTTTATGGTTTATTGCGACTGGTATAAAACAGGTTATGGTTACAGGTGTGTAGAGACTGGTATATATATTTCATGTACAGTTGATTTTTGTGTTTTGTGATTTTGATCATGGATAAATGTGAAAGACGCTTTTTGACTTTTGTTATTTTACTGAATTTGTTAAGGATATTAAGAGAGAAGAGCGGCTGGCAACAAATGGTGTTAGCGGAAGTGAGAAACATGATAAACAGATGCAGCTGCAAACAACAACAAATGGAAACAACAAGTGAGAAGTAAAATAGCTTCGACAAGTGGTATTCAAAGCTCCAAAAACACTTTTGAGGATGAGAAGGGAATCTCTTCTATATTTGATGTCTTACAAAAGTGGAAAAAACATCGTGGTATGTCTAGGATTTAAAGGTAGGGCTCTCGATATTTATGCATTATTACCATCAGATGATGCTTTAGATTATGACAAACTGAAGATAGCACTCCTTAAACGCTATGAGCTTACAGCCCAGCAGGCACACAACGTTGTTTAAACGTTGAAATGGTTTGGTCTACAACTCCAAAGAGACAACCCAACGGACAACCAAGATCCATTGAAGTTCAAATTGGAAACAGTGATGCAAGGTGAGGGAAATTTGATCTCTGAGGGAAACCTTTCTTCATAGATAATTTGGATTTGACCCAAGCCATTGAACAGAATCCCTAGTGTGCTAGTGTTTTCCTTTATTGGCATAATTAACATTTGTTTTCTTAACTTTTGAATAATTTAAAATTCCAGTGAATTTCAAACTCTGATTATCTAAATTATTTATTGAATTTTGTTTATCAGACAAAGAAACATTTTGTTGGAGTATCACTTGTTTAATTTTCATTCAATTGTTTTCACTGTATTTACTTGAAATATTAAACCATGTTTAAAATGGTACTTAAAAAGATACAACTTATTCAATTTATAAGGCATTTGATGTTGGATTTAAATGCTTCATTGTTAAATATAATAAAACAATTAAAAAAAATTACAAAAGAAATAAAAAGTAATATTTCAATCATATGTTTGATCTCATCAAATTTACCAAAGGTCTCAGGAAACTGATTAAGTTGTGTGTCAGTGTATTAGTATATTGTTAAAGTTATCGTTTTCACACTATCCCTTCAACAATTATGAAGGTATCTTAGCAACCTTGCAATAAAACGTTTGAAAATTTAAGTAAGTATATTTTTAATAAATGACACCCCCTTTCCAAAATAAATAATTGAATAAATGTTGAATCAACTGTTTTTCAACATATAATCAACGTTGATTATCAATGTTGTATGTTAAGGTGAAATTTTCTCTAATTTCAGTTGTCTTTATTCAATGTTGTGTGCCTGCTGAGATTTTGTGTTCAAATGCAAAACCAGATTTTGATCATTTGTACAAAAGGCTACTGGCAGGTTCCTTTAACATCGTCAGCTAAACCCAAAACAGCGTTTCAGACATCAAAAGGCCCTTTCCAATTTCGAACTGCAACTTTTTCCAGTTTTTGATAAACATTTTTTCGATGATATCATTGTTTTTACAGAGGACTTAGATCAGCATTTGATTTCAAAATCATTGCCTTCCAAGTGTGCAATTGAAATGATTTTTCCATATCGAAGGTGATTCCAAATAATTTTATTTAAGATGACCCCTTCTTTGTCATGAAATTCATTGCCAATTTTTCGTAGTTGCACTACTCCTCACTGATCTGAAAAATAAAATTATTTGGAATGAATAGGAAAAATCATTTCAAACACTGAAGGCAATGCTTTTGAAATCGCCTATTTTTAAACTGCCGTTTATCAAAACAGTTCATTGGTGCTGGCGCCTCTTGAATTGCTCTTGCCTTGTCTGGGTTTGGTTTGAAACTTCCGGTGGCGTATGCAAGTCGAAAATTGAAGGATAGTGAAAGTAAGTATTCTACAATCGAAAAAGAATGCTTGGCAATTGTTTGGGCAGTCCAAAAGTTCCACTTGTACTTGTATGGACGTGAGTTCCTCATGGAAACAGATCATCAGTCGTTAATGTATTTTCATTCGTTTTTCTATACAATATAACCTGGTGAGCTTAGGATAAAAGATACCATAAAGTCTAACACTTCTGCTTCATACTTGGATATTTTACTTGAAAAAGACGTTGATGGTAACCTAACATCCAAGCTCTTTGATTGGATACATGCACAAGAGCATGCTCTACGTATGTACAAATTTACAAAACGAGGAAAATTTAAGACAAATCAGTTAATGAAACAAGAATATCAACTGTCTCGTTTAAAGTCATCATTTCTTGAGTTCTATGGTCGATACAATGACATTGTAACCAAATTAGCCCCAAATGCTGACTGACGTTTTTTAGTATTAATTTTTTGCCTATTATTGATACACTGAATGGTCGACGTATATATCCATTATTTCCCGATCATGACAAGGAGCACACGGTGGGTCTGACCTATCTGTAGGGGATACTCCCTCCTCAATGGCATATGGTCCCACCTCCGATGTTTTGGAGGTCCTTCTTTCCTCCGATCCTAATTTGTATTCTTTTTATTTGGACTTTTATTTGAATACTGCCTGTCATCTCCATATCATTCACATACACAACTACATACTCAATACATGGGAAATAAAAAAATCTTATCTTTAACACAAAGAAAATGTGGGCTTACCTTAAATTTTTATATAGAGCAGAGTGAATGGGAAGTCCAAAATCGTCTTTGTTGGTCTGATCTGTATAGTTCCATAATCCACAAGGCCAAAAATTACGTTCAAATGCTACAGGTTCGAAGATGTTCAGATGATCACATAGGTGCTACAAAGAAACTTATTCTTGAGGTAACAGTTGATTGCAAGTATAGTCTCTCTCTTATTTCTGTCACTCTTTTTGAGCACTGGGTTTAGATTGGTTTTAAATACACTTTATTGTCTCAGTCTAAGTCAGATCCAAAGTATATTTTTGATGAATTTCTACACATTACATAACATTGACGTTCCACGCGGATGAAAAATGGCATAGAAACACTCAAACCGATGTTATCTTTTAAATGGTTAAAATATCTAGATTTTAAAATGATACTTAGATTTATCGACCGTGCAGGGATAAAACCTTAAAAAAGATATTGACTGGGGGAAATGACCGCTCTGCTATATGTAATTCTTTGAGAAAATAATCTTGCTTAACGTCATTTTCCTTCAATTATTCGACGTGCCTCTACATTTGTACCGAATTAAAAGAAACAATGATTGAAATGAATTTTTTATACCCTGTAATTTAGTAATTTCTCTGTCAGTCCCTCTCTCTGTCTAACTGTCCAGCAGTCTGCAGTTTGTTAGCAAAAATAACTTAAAATCAACCTTAGCAGATTCTTTTGACTAGTTGATGCTATGGTTTCCATATTTCACGTGTTTTCTTTGTAAGAAGGCATTTCTGTTGGTACCAACATATTTTTTCCCCTAAAACCTTGGAGTATGACCCACTCTTGCAAAAAAAAAAAAAATGCTGAACTTTGATCCTGACCACAACTTTTGATCACTTGGTGCAAGGAATTTCATAAGTAAAATATATATTTCCATGGAGACAGGCATTTTCCATGGATATAAATATTTTTGACTATTTCATCTTAAACTTAGAGTTTGACCCACTTTCAAAAAAACATTAATCGTGATTTGAACAGTTAGTAATAGGGCTTTCATATTTCCCAGGTATGTGTAAATCCCTATTGACAAGGTCTTTTCATCAGACAATAAAAAAGTGGCCTCTTCACTTTCCCTTGGGAATTTGACCTACATTTGGAAAAATTATATCTTAGTTTAACTTTTAAATAATTAATGATCAGGCTTTTAAGTTTCATGTTAGTACAATATATTTCTTATGATAGGACCTTCCCTTAGAAATATACACTTTCATCTATCATAATGAAAACTTCCTGATTGATTGTGTATTGTTTAGCGTCTCTCTCGAGAATAACCTTCACTCAAATAGAGACATCACCGTATGCCTGTGAAGGGCTTCAAATTTAGACCTATACTCGCCACACAAGGCCATTGCACAGTGAGGTTCTTTATCGTACGAACGCCTACCGTGACACGGGATCTATATTCTTAAGGTCATATCAGAAGATGGGTGCCGATTGCTTGGAGACGAAACAGTCACTACCCATGTTTACGTCTAAGGTATGACGGCGCCGAGAACGAGAATGGAACCCAGGCCTCCGGATCACAAAAACCTCCTGAAAAAAAGACAAATTATATTATGAATCTAAAAATAATGTCATTACCTTCAGTGAACAGAGTCCTGCTACACCCGCCCCTATCACAGCTACCTTCTGCTTTATTTTCTCATCGGACATTTCGTCCCTAAAAGTAACCCAGATTTTTAAACATCCAAGCTTTATATACGACAAAAAGCTAGCACTTTTCATAAAATATGCCCACGTGACATGTCCTGTGTAATACACACCAACTACCCATATGAAAATTAGAACCCATTCCTTCTATAAAAAATTTTTTAATTTATTCATATTTTATAAGTCTAAATTAAAGTAGTTTATTTCGTTTAATCTCTGTATATCTATAACTCAAAAGATTCCTATGAGTATATCATATATGCCATTTCAAAATAAAATTTCTTTTTAAAAGTATTTTGAATTCACTAAAATGGAGGTGTTTAAATGAAATAAAATTTCTATCAAGGATCGCTCCTTCAGTTGTTTAGGTGAAATTTGCACGTATTATATTACCGTTTTTTTGTTTTTGTTTTTACATGAAACTGCGTTAAATGATTAAAAAAAGCTTTAACATACCGGTAGTTTAAATCCACGATAATAGAACACGGATGGTTCAAATAAACTGGGACTCGATAATTCAGAATAGTATTAAGGGAAAATTAAATAGGTCACATTATGTTTGTCTTTATTTAAATTTATCATTCAAGGTCATAAGATACCCTCATATCTCTATATTTCTTTTTTATCCTCATTCAAAATTGTGATATTGATACAGTTTGCATAATTTATAGGAATAGACTAACATTTTTGGGGAATTTCATTTTTAAGCGGTTAGCGTGAAGAGGAATAAAACGTACGCTCAACTAGGACTTCGAGCTCGGGTCCCCCGCAAATAGTTCATCATTTTGCGTAGTAATAAAATCTTTTATGAACTCTTCAGGCATTAAAGGCACAAAAGGAAATTCAGCGATATCAATACGGACACCTCAGGTCACCTTATATATATTGATTGAATTTTATATGATAGACAGTTTTCTTTGTCTTACTCCAAGCTGATCATATTTATAACTTTATACAGATCTACTTTCTAATATATACATGTATATTAGCAGAAACGTGTTAGTAATAAGGGGGACCGGAGGAAACCTTATATCACACATAAGTAGACAAACCAGTAGTCACCTTATATTGTGCATCATTAGAGGGTTCATAGGTCATCTTACATTTTAAATTGATAGGGGGCCAAAGGAAACCTTTTATTGCACATCAAAAGGGGGGCCTGAGGATAACTTATATTGTACATAATTTGGGGTACCAGAGATCACCTTATATTGAAAATCAATGAGGAGACCAGAGGTCACCTGATATTGTACATAATTAGATGGACTAGAGGTCACCTTATTTTGTACATCAGTAGAGGGACTGGAGGTTATCTTATATTGTACATCAGTAGGGGGACCAGAGTACATCTTATATTGTACATCAATAGAGGGGCCAGAGGTAACCTTATACTGTACATCAGTGGGGGGGGGGCAGTGGTCACCTTATATTGTACAGTACATCATGCAGTAGAGGGACTAAAGGTCAGCTTATAATATACATCAGTAGTGGGACCAGAGGTCACCTAATATTGTAAAGGGTGTCAAGAAAGTTCGTTCCACATTTTTGTTTTATTTTCCAAAAGAAATACGATTAGAAGATATTTACAATTTGTGATATTTCATGTTTACAGAATCCATTCTTGCTACTGATAAGGTTTTAACTGTCTTTTGTTGAATCAATAAGGAGAGGGTAGGTATTAAAACAGATGATTCTGTTCAGAAGAATTAGGAATGACGTATATTTGTGACATATATATATTAAGCACACAGGTCAAAACATCCTTTCAAATACTGTGCAAAAATTATCAGATCTGTAAAAAAATTCAAAATGACAAACCTATTCTTTTGAAAAGTGATCTATGGTTCTTATACCTACGCTCATCAGCTTGTCTGATGCAAGATAAGATATGAAGAAACAAAAGTAACTTATCCTTTACTTTCACTCAAAATGACCAGCATTTCTATCATTCGGGTGCTTTAAAGATGTTATATACATTTTCATATGGAAGAAAAATTCTACAAGTTCCTGCTAAAAATAAATAGCTATAAATCTAAAGCACATTCCTGTGATTTTGTCAGACCTGAAAATTCATCTCTTTATATAAGCACTACTTTGAAATTTTTGAAAATATTTCATCCTGGAACGAACTTTCTTAACACCCCTTACATCAGTAGGGGGACCAGAGGACAGCTTATAATGTAGATGAGTAGGGGGACCAGAGGTCACCTTATATTGTATACAGTAGGGGGACCAGAGGACATCTTATAATGAAAATCAATAAGGGGGACCAGAGGTCACCTTATATTGTACATATGAGTAGGAGGACCAGAGGTCACCTGATATTGTACATCAGTAGGGGACCAGAGGACATCTTATAATGAAAATCAGTAAGGGGAGCAGAGGTCACCTTATATTGTACATATGAGTAGGGGCACCAGTGGTCACCTTATACTGTACAGTACATCATGCAGTAGAGGGACTAAAGGTCAGCTTATAATATACATCAGTAGTGGGACCAGTTGTCACCTAATATTGTACATCAGTAGGGGGACCAGAGGACACCGTATATTGAAAATCAATAAGGAGATCAGAGGTCACCTTATATCGTACATCAGTATGACGACCAAAGGTCACATTATATTGTACATGAGTAAGGGAACCAGCGGTCACCTTATATTGTACATCAGTAGAGGGGCCAGAGGTCACCTTATATTGTACATCAGTAGAGGGACCAGTGGTCACCTTATATTGCACAATACATTACGCAGTAGAGGGACTAGAGGTCAGCTAATAATGAAAATCAATAAGGGGACCAGAGGTCACCTTATATTGTACATCATTAAAACCAATGATCACATGATCACACTATTTTAAACGACAATGAAGAAACCGGAAGACACCTAATATTTTGCATAAATATTGAGACCAGAGGACTCCTTATTTGGTCATCTGAATCAACTTATGTGACTTATTGCTATCTGTTTTTTTTTTCTGGCGTGGTGCTCTGTGCATTGTCCTTAAACATTCGAACATTTTCAGCTTTTCTTTAAAATTCCTCAACCATTTACAACCAATTTTGGCATAAAGCATCTATAGGTGAAGGAGAGATTTTTTAAATCATTGTCCCTGCCCTTCACCCCCTAAGGCAAGAAAGTTGGGGCAAAACTACTTCAATTCATGAAATTTTTAAAAATTTTCTTTACTCATTGACATCAAGCCGTCGAACTGTTGGCATTATTATTATAAGCATTGACTCCTCTACCAAAGTTGTGAAATTCATTGTCCCAGCGTCAGGGGCCGGGGGGTTAAGAAAGGGCTATAAAAATTTATATCGTGAAATGCATTTATTCTTTGAAAATCTTTCCGTCTGCCCCTGGATTTTTAACAAATTAACTACATTGCATAGTTATGATATGTAAGGGTATTCTCTCCAAAGTTTTGAAATTCATGACCCAAAGGTCAGGGGTTCTGATGTTACTGTGGGGCTATATAAATTGTAAAGTTAAAATTCATTAATTCTTTAAAAAAATCTTCCTCTCTGCTCATGGATATTTATTACACTAACTACATATAGGTATGATAAGCAAGGGAGCCTCTACCAGAATTATAAATTTCAAAGACCCCTGGCCCATGGGTACCATTGAGGTGTGGGGGCTCTAATTAAATACTGTAATTGAATTAATGCTTTGAAATTTGTTCTTTGGTATAAACCAATTTTTTTATGAACATGGATGCCTTTTCTAAAATTGTGAAATGTATGACCCCAGGATGAGGATTTTTGTGGTCAATGGGCACTACTAATTATTGCTAATTATTACTGATTATTTGAAATGCACTTTTTTGTCCCCCTACGCTCTATGTAGGTATATAGTAGCCAAACTAAGCATGCTAAGTATATACATGTAGTTATGAGCAATGGTCCTTTTTTTCAAAATCGTGAATGTCATGGTCTCTGGATCAAAGTGCGAACCAAATTCAATTGTTTTAAAGTTTTTACATGATGTTGAGATGACTAATGAAACTCATAGGCCTCTTGTCGTGTTCTTATAAGAGAACCTTTAATATCCCGTTAAAATGCATTTTAGCGTAACCTCTGGTCCGCCCTTATTTTCTTTTGAGACATCTCGTAGTTAAGACGGGTCTAGAATCGTTGATGCCTTATCTCTGCATTCATATAAATTTTATTTTATGTCTGGTTGCCTTAAAAATATACAAAAATGGGGACCACTGGTCTCCCTATTTATGTACAATATAAGGTGACTTCTGCTCCCCCCTGTGTTGTAAAATATAAAGTAACCTTAGGTTCCCATAATGATCTTCAACATAAGTGACCTCTGACCCCCTGTTGATGTATAAGATGACCTCTGTTTCCCCTTATGATGTACAATATAATCTGATTTGGTCTTGTACAGTATAAGGTGACCTCTGGTTCCCATTCTGTTGCACAATACAGAGGTGACCTTTAGTCTCCATAATGAAAAAAAATATAAGGTGATCTTTGGTCAACCTATTGATGTACAATATTAGTTTACCTCTAGTCCACCTAGTGACAAACGTTAAAACTGACCTGAAGGCTCTGCACCCCTACTGATGTACAATATAAGGTGACCACTGGTCCCCCTACAGATGTACAATATAAGATAACCTCTGGTCCCCCCACTGATGTACAGTGCAATATAAGGTTTCCTCTGGTCCCCCTACTGAAGTACAATATAAGTTGTCCTCTGGTCCCCATGCCAATGGAAAATATAAGGTGACCCCTGGTCCCCCTACTAAGGTGCAATATAAGGTGTCCTCTCGTCCCCCTACTGATGTACAATATAAGGTGACCTTTGGTTTTCCTACTGATGTACAATATAAGGTGTCCTCTGGTCCTCCATATGATGTAGACCAGAAGATAACAACAAGTCTCCCTACTGATGTACAATATAAGCTGTCCTCATGTCCCCGTACTGATGTACAATATAAGGTGACCTCTGGTCCTCCTACTGATGTCCCCTACTGATGTACAATATAAGGTG